GATCTACCTATAATGATGTACTTTTGAAGTTGGGGAGGAGAGAAACTGTCCTCGATAGCGAACTCACTGCATTAGCTCATGCCGACCCTGATGACCTTCCCGCCGCGGTGAGGAAACTAGTCCGTACTATCCCTACTGGGTAAGCTAACAATAACAACACTTTTATATGTGTTGTATGTCAACATTGTCATAAAATATCAATTGTTTTTCACTATTTAGACAGCGTAAATTTTAATTTGTTTTTCAAATTGTAAGATTTAATAGCTTGCGACACAGGTTTAATAGATGAACATTTAATATAGTTTCATAGATTTTGTTAACCTTATGCTTTTTTATATGATTTATCTTAATAATTTGATATATTGCTGATGATTTGTTGTGATGACGTTCCTTTTCAATCTTGACAAATAAAGCTGAATTATCTATTAATAAAAGACAAACATGAAATACATAAGAAACGTTTTACATATCATGCATACGGCTATAAATACAATGATGAAAGCAGATGTAAAAATGAATTAAAAAATATATATATGTCACATCAATATTTATAATATCCACAGCAGCATACACCTATTGTATATGAGACACAACCAGTTTGTATTTCATAAATACTTCATGGATCGGTGTTAGGTGTTTATCCTTCTTTTTCTTTTTTCATTTGTACAGACAGCACCTTTGCTGCCGTAATAAGCCAGTGATCATTGAGGTTAAGTCGAGGAGGGTACGAAGAGTGCGTGCTGTGGTTGACACAGTGGCTACGTCACATAAATGTGGATTGCTCAGTACAGGTCATTGCACCAATACAGACGAAGTTTACAGGTAAATGTGAATGTGGATTTATTAAAACAGGACACTATCATACATATGAAGTTCACAGGTAAATGTTGACTTCTCAATACAGGACACACTCATACATATGAAGTTAACAGGTAAATGTGGATTTCTTAATACAGGACATTGCCCTAATATAGATGAAGTTTACAGGTAAATATGGATTTCTCAATGCAGGACACTGCACAAATACAAAAGATATTTATAGGTAAATGTGGATTTCTTAATACAGGACACTGCTTTAATACAGACGAAGTTCACAGGTAAATGTTGACTTCTCAATACAGGACACACTCATACATATGAAGTTCACAGGTAAATGTTGACTTCTCAATACTGGACACACTCATACATATGAAGTTTACAGGTAAATGTGGATTTCTTAATACAGGACATTGCCCTTATATAGATGAAGTTTACAGGTAAATATGGATTTCTCAATGCAGGACACTGCACTAATACAAAAGATATTTATAGGTAAATGTGGATTTCTTAATACAGGACACTGCTTTAATACAGACGAAGTTCACAGGTAAATGTTGACTTCTCAATACAGGACACACTCATACATATGAAGTTTACAGGTAAATGTTGATTTCTTAATACAGGACACTGTCCTGATATAGAATATAGATGAAGTTTACAGGTAAATATGGATTTCTCAATACAGGACACTGCACTAATACAAAAGATATTTATAGGTAAAAGTGAATTTCATAATACAGGACACTGCTTTAATACAGACGAAGTTCACAGGTAAATGTTGTCTTCTCAATACAGGACACACTCATACATATGAAGTTCACAGGTAAATGTTGACTTCCCAATACAGGACACACTCATACATATGAAGTTTACAGGTAAATGTGGAATTCTTAATACAGGACACTGCTCTAATATAGATGAAGTTTACAGATAAATATGGATTTCTCAATACAGGACACTGCATTAATACAAAAGACATTTATAGGTTAATGTGGATTTCTTAATACAGGACACTGTTTTAATACAGATGAAGTTTACAGGTCAAATGTGTGTTGCTCAATCCAGGACACTGCACTAATACAAAAGATATTTATAGGTAAATGTGGATTTCATAATACAGGACACTGCTCTAATACAGAAGATATTTACAGGTAAATGTGGATTTCTCAATACAGGACACTGCACTAATAAAGATGAATTTAACAGGTAAACGTGGATTCCTAAGTACAGAACACTGCTCAATTCAGATGAAGTAAGTTTCTATGTTTATAAGAACTACCTTATATTTGTCCTTCAAGTTATCGCGAAACTCTCCCTTGACAAATGGTGGCAGTATAACGAGGTTTTTACAGTACAACAATTATGTTTGCGTTGCATAATGTTCTCAATGCAATTGTTACATTGATAACATTTCTGAATTCAGAAATATACCTTAAACTACAATTCAGTAATATTTTAATAATATTTTTCCCTAGATATCACGTTTCAGTGAGACGTCAATATAGATTTGAAAATAATGTCATGTAAGTTTTTTTCTGAGATAATATTATGTATATTTGTACTTTTGTACGTGTTTATCGTCGTTGATACGATGTCATGTGATTTATGAGCTCGCGACAGGCAAATACAATACTGTATGGTATTGTCATGTTTGCCCAAATGGAACAGAACCCTATACGGACTGATTTTACATGCACGTTTATCGTGATATTATCCTATCACGTCTTCATACACATAGGTAATCTATATCGATACATTGTGATTTGTTTTGTATATCTGATGCGTTATGATATTTTTGCATCGTCAATCATTTTAAATCCCGCACAATCAATGGTTTGCGTAATCAATTAATTACATTGATAAAAGATATATATGAAATACATTAGATAAAATCAAGTTTGTCAGCTTTATCTTGAGGAACGAAATACATTTTGTTACCTTTCTATTACAGTTTAAAATATCAATTTGGAATCCGATAAGCCCATCAATATAGACGTATATAATATTGATATGATCAATAAAACTCATTACAAATACTTTTTTTATATAATAATAATGTTCCCTTCGCTTATGGTGTAAGCGACGAGCCTCTCTTTCCATCTGATTTGTTGTCATCTCAGTACCTGTTACATTTTTCTTTCTTACTTTCAGTTCGCATTTATCCTTGCATTTAAGGGTTTAGGAATACTTGTATACAAAATCAACAGTACCATTATAGTTAATTATCGTGAACGCTTTCATGCCAAACGACCATCTTCAGGAAATTACTTTCCATCTCTGATGTGACATCATCATTTCAGGAAAACGAAATTACAATTAATATTTGCCCTGATCTGCAAATGCAATCTAAAGCATTTGACGACCTTTAAACGTGTTAGGCGTGGGATTGGCTCCCGACGTCGGATACAACTTATTATGTCATACCTTTAATTAGACCCTAGTTTAAACAGTTTACCTTGGGGTAACCTTACGTAAACAATTGAAATAGAATAAAATATAACATATCCATTGTTCCTGTTTTAGAACAAAAACATAGGAAATGTATTGAAATTATGGTAGTAAACAATCTGTAATGAATTTTCGTTAACTGAAATAGCGTACAATACTTGAAAGAGGTGTGCACTTCAACTTGTTTGCGTAAAATATTCTTACAGACAACAGACTTTCTACGTGACAGCATACTACACACATGTGAGATCCGGGGACTGTCCTGATCGCCATATCGTCTGCTGCAACATGTACATCATGGTGGCCGAATCATGTGTTCGTAAGTATCAGGAACCTCAAAATGAATTAAATTCATAGAACAAGTAATCTCGTGACTCACAATAATAATCTTAGTTGGGTAAAAAAACATCTGAAATATTCTGATCAAAATTGAGGAAAAACACCCATTGTCATTATCATGTATATTTACATATCACAAGATATGTTTTCAAACCTCTCCAGCTCTCGTTCTGCTGATTGCAAGGTCGTGACTTAAAACAAATATTTTCGTAATCCATACTTTATATATTTTGTCTCTGTAGAGTGAAACATTAATAACACTCCTGGATGTTCAAATATAATTATTTCATCTTTTCAGATCTGGATGACCTTCATGAACTAACAACTCAACTTGTTGGCTAATCACATGTATTTGCCTCGAAAATGAAATAAAACATAAAACTATAACCTTCACAATCGTTTGATTTCCTTCTGTCAGTATGTGAGACTCCTCCCTTTATGATGATTACAGGTAACTGTTAGCTCACTTCTTCAGTGTCCGTTTTAACTATTAGAATTTCTCGATAAATGCGTCCTATTGTCATTTCATTGTGAACTACTAAGTAAATGATTTTCTACCTCCAGTCAACGCTTAAGATATTGTACGGTTACCTCATGATCTGAATTCCGACTATGACATTTTATGGTCTGCCTTTAATGCAATATGGAAATTTATTGTCTACCATTGATACACTCTGATTTTTCATTTTCCAGCATTCAAAAATTCTGAAATTCATTTTCTTCCCTTTATAATCTATGAGATTGTATTGTCTGCCAATTATAATTGTTATCGGTCTCAGATCGCTGGTGCTTTCATTTCCCTTTTGTGTTGGGGATTTCTGGCCTCTTTCCTTTCGTTTGTGTGGCTCCTTAGAATTTGTGTGCCGAAAATGTGTATGGTCTTGTTCTTAATATCACAGTCAGAAAAGGAGATCAAATGGAGAAAAAAATAGACATTAGACCTGATTAACACCTCCCATTCTTGTTCTGTCTCTTCTTTCAACTTCGATTTCCGGACTTCAAAAACACATTTCTCTGTTTTTATGTTTTATATATGTAGATATGTCTATTTTAAGTGTATATGGATACAGGTAATTGATACTGTGTAATTTATTGTAAAGGACGAATAAAAGTTTATATTTTTTTTTATATAAATAGTCTTTCCCGTAAGTGATAGAATATGATGGGTAACAGAGTTACAAATGGTAACAGAGTTATAATTGTAAATTCTCTGTCACATGAGCTGTGTACAGTAAATATGACATAAATATCATAATTATAATTTAAAAATTATATAACCGTATTTTCACTTTCATTTGGAGTAAAACGGACAATATCATCTTGTCACATTGACGTATAAATAGATAAGATAATATAAAACAAATTTGATGAGTAAACGCAGAACAACATACTAATTCAAGTTTAAAATATATTTTTATTATTTCTTTGTCACAATGATTCAAATCCTTTCTTAACCCACGAATTTTTACTTAATATTTTCTTGTTACAGTATTTTCTATTTTTTCTTTAACCAACAACTATTCCTGCAGAGTGCAAATGCAGCAAGTCGTCTTTTATGTCTGGGAGTCGACTTTGAGCTAAATAAAATAAAAATATTTTTGTTACTTGAACATATTTTACATCATTACTACATAATTCACATCATGTCAGATGCAGATGCTGTAATTACAAAATAATGATCAAACGTTTTCGTTAAATTTAACACTATTTCGCATTGAAAAACATTCACAAAGTTGTTCTTGGACGGATTTTGTTTTGTTTTATTTATCTGTTTTTTCTTTCTAACTAATTAATTTGTTTGTTTATTTATCGTACTGTTTATTTATTGTAATTTAAAAAAAAATTCGTCAAATCAAATATTTCACAAGCATTAGTTCCATATCATTACTTACGCAAACACTGGTCAGCAACTTTTATGTAGTCTTTACAGCACACCAGATGCTGGTCAGGGCAGGTTGTTGGTACCAGCCTACTTTTGTAACTCGCTCTGTACGCTGTTTTGTACCTAAAGTTGTAAGCGCGGTTGATAGAATATGATATGTCACTTGTTACTTTTCTTACAGTGTTAAGATGAACTAATGTATAGCGGTTATATTTCGCGGGGGTTTTAATTTCGCTATATTCGCGCTTTGACTAATAACCACGAATTCTAAGCACCAGCGAAATTATCGAAAAGGTTAACCACGTTTACGGACCTTATCACACATGTTAAAAATATCGTTAACCCAACGCTGTAATGCAAGCTAAAATGAACTCAAATCAGATCAGCAATGGACAACATGACAGTCCATGTGAAAACAACAATTACATATAAGTGGCCACAACATATGTATGTGTACACGGTAGGTGATAAATTGATCACAGTTTACTCCTACAAACGTACATACACATTTGATTTTCTTTCGAGTGAGGTCACTCATTCGTGGATGAGGACGCTTAGGATCAGTGTTTTCAAACGGTTTACCTATATTTTGAGGTTAAACCCTTAAAAAATGACGCTCAAAATACTTTGAACGACACATGGGATTCGGGTGCACAGCGAAATTTAACCCCCGCGAATATGTACTGAATACGAGTCATGTGGAAATGTAATAGGATTTTGCCGTTTGCTGTGAATTCGTAACTTATCTTCGTTACCTTGACATCTAATAAATATAATTACACATGCTATAGAGACACCTATGTGGTGGTGAAAATACTACGTAAAAACTATTTTAATTACCCAGTGGTATATGATGAACTGCCGCATCGACTGAGCCACAGGAATCCACAGCTGGAATGATGGGTGTGTTTTACTGGGACGACTACAGTGACTGTCACGGTTCGGGAATCTACAACCGTTTTGGTTGGATTGATCTTACAGCACCAATGAGCTCTATAAAACATAAAAGTCAACCTAACGGTAGCAATGAGCTCTATTAAACAAATGGTGAACATAACAACAAAATGAGCTCTGTAAAACAGAATGATAACATAACAACAAAATGAGCTTTGTAAAACAGAATGTTAACATCACAACAAAATGAGCTCTGTTAAACAGAATGAAAACATCACAACAAAATGAGCTTTGTAAAACAAAACGTTAACATCACAACAAAATGAGCTTTGTAAAACAGAATGTTAACATAACAACAAAATGAGCTCTGTAAAACAGAATGTTAACATAACAACAAAATGAGCTCTGTAAAACAAAACGTTAACATCACAACAAAATGAGCTCTGTAAAACAGAATGTTAACATAACAACAAAATGAGCTCTGTAAAACAGAATGTTAACATAACAACAAAATGAGCTCTGTAAAACAAAATATTAATCAAAAACCAATGAGATCTCTAAAATAAACAAAACAATCTAACAACATCAATGAACTATGTAAAACAAACATCAACGATTAGCTCTATAAAACAACAGGTAAACATAAAAACAGCAAATAGCTCAATATGACAATAAAACTTTAACCGGAACAGCATGACAATGGGTTAAATCAACAACATCAATCAGCCTTACACAACAAAGAGTTAAAGAGTTCAGGACTACATTGTTTATGTCATGTGATGGTGTAGGTTATTCTGTAAAAAGGCATGAATGCAGGTGATTTCATTAAAAGAAAAGTATAATCAAATTAAATGTTATAACGAACTGACAACTTATCTAAAGTTCACTTATTGTATCTAGGTCATGTCTAGCTACCGGCCTCCAGTTAAGATAGCTGAAGTCAACGCTCCACACAAGTCAAAAACAAAAATATATCAAATGGGTTATAAAGTCAACAAAAGGCTACATAGAAATGATTCAAAGATAGTTACAGAGAGGAAATCAATATGTGATTGCAAATGTTCATAAATTTAATGAATGTACGCTTATATATACCATATAATGGTTTGTATTAACAATTAAGACTCTTGCATACATCAAATAATTATTTGATTTTGTAGTCATTTAAGGACATATTTACGTTTCGTCCGTCGAGGTTCTGCTCTCACGCAAAACCTCTTTCACGCGCTCCGGTAGGGAGTCATACTTCAAATTCCCAAACATTGTTGCTTCATCATTTTGTTCCGACTCCAACAGGCAGAAAGGAACATAAATAATTAAAGCAACCAAGACTAAATTCAACCTCAACATGCTGTACATATCCGATGTTTATGATTTCAAGCTTAAACAGAGAAACATATTCGCCGAATTCATTATCAGTTGACATTTTCACCGAATTTCACGAACTGTAACAGATAAGGCGTAGCTAGGAGGACATTTCAAGTTCAAATGTATTGGGCAACAAGTAAATTCTCTTGTAAAACTTTTTAACGATGCAATTTTTACTGCTTCCAACATTTTTCAATCCGAAAATCTATCAATTCCATCAAAATAATCAAACACATATTGATTATATCTACTAGTATACTACATATAATGAATTGTGCTTTTGTGTCTAATAGGCTGAATGACTAAGGTAATCTTGTTGCTTCTATGAGCAAGGCTGACAATCCAACCCAAGCATAGCTTATGTAATATTTTGCCCCTCCAAACGAGTTTTTTTCAAAAGCACGAGAGGCTTGTGGACGAACATCACACGTGCATTAAGCAAATAAACCATGCACGTGCGTGTGCATTGTTCGATACTGTATGATTATTAATCAATGGAAAGTGTGGTTAGATCGCCGACGTAATATGATTGAACGTTATCTTAAACCGCAGTATAAATTGGGAAACATATAAAACGTATAAATAAAACGTATATTTTATATCGATAATAAATTCGTAATAATAATCTGATTAAGCAAACTACTTAACAGTTGGTCGACTTTTCATGTCGGTGGTGTACATATATACCATACAAGATTTGACCGAAAACGTCGTGATGGATGCAATATGTGGTGCAGAAAGCGCTCATTGCGTCACGTGGTTTCCCTTTCAGCATAGTTGGACTTGTTCTCATCATATCAATTCAAGACAGTCAGCTTGTACAGTTGTCAACAAAATCGCTCAGCACCAATAGTGATAATTCATGATGTCTTTCCACTTTCGTTTTACTGTCTAGCCAGTTGTAAAATCTCTATATACCTGGAGGTCTGTGTACTAATTCTGTTCTATAGAAATCAAATTCACTTGTGTTAAGATATGTACTGTTGATTTTGCTAAATACATTTTATGCATTTAATTCAATATTTGATAAATTTGAATGAAATAGATATATCAAGATTGAAAGAGAGAAAAAAAACAAAGACATGGATATATTTTTGTGATTTTATTTCCAACGTTTTATATATGACATTGAATTGATTGCCAGAAACTATCCAATCAATCCCGCGTCGATGAGGGCCTGGAGGGAATTAATGGCAGAGGATTCTGTAGAAAAACATTTGATATAATCAACAGCCGTAACTGCAGTATATTAAAATATGTTAAAATTCCTACATTAATATAACATGCTTAACTAATCAGTATCGTTAAAAAAATATGATGTTTTTTTATAGAAAAAACGCCAACACTTTTATTATACTAGTCTAATTCTATGGAATTCATTTCAATATAACCGTTGTGATATTACAGCAATCGCGAGCAGTTATTGTAAAATGCGCGCTAGTAACTTACTTAGACATTGGTCCTGGTGTTTGACATAACCCTCACAACACACTAGGTGTTCCGTGGGACACACGCCCTGCTGTATCACTGGTTTTACCACGGGCACCTGTTGGTATGTGGTCACTGTCCTGTATCGGGAAAAATAGAAATAAATGTTTTAAAAGAATACCATATTATAGTTACTAGAATTAAACTAAATCACTTTAAAACGAGTTTCTATTACAATATCTAACAAGAGGACAATTAAAATTAACAGCAAATATTTAATACGCAACATTTGTATTGAGAAAATATTCCCTCTTGTAAATCGTTTCGAGAAAAGTATTTTCATTTGCCAATAACAAAAATAAAGAAAATTGCAAAACACAAAATGTATCTAATTATTGTTCCTATCAGAACAACAACTGTGTTATTAAAACAAAGCCCTTTGTTCTTTACAGCCGTAATGTATTAAGTAAATCGCTGACCTGGAGACGTTCACCATGCTCTGGCAGTCCCAGCTGAACAGTCCAACAGTCGTGTCCTCACCCGGCTCACATTGATGAACAGGACCTTCTTTCTCCTCCCAGATCACCTTCGTAAACTGGTGTATTTCTATCGAAGTGAAATTGGACGACGAGATGGTCGGCTCCACTTCACAGCACCAATTGGAACTTAAGAACAAAAAGCAGAACAGTAACTGAAAGTCCCGTCTATCATTAAAGCTATATAACAAACTTCCATTGGTAAAACCTCATTTATGATATCCAAACAAACAATTAACCCCAATATCATCATAGCAATGCATCGTACAAGGCTGAGAAACCCGATCAATATCAACTTAATGACAACAGATTTGTTGTGAAAGGCTGTGAAAGCAAAAAAAAATATAAAAAAATGGACTTCTCAATATCATACTTATCGCCTGTCCTTTTAACTGTGAATCCGACTGTGGTCCAGAAGAGGCTGACAACAACACTCAGAACGAGCAGAGCATTCATCTTTAATAGTTTACTCTGTAAGTAATGTACAGGATACGATTATAATTCTTATCAAGCCTTACGCTACACACACAACCTTTCTCACGTGATATCCGTTTAGACGTTCGTTGTTTGAACATATTGTTAAAAATGTTAAAAATGAATTTTACCAATTGGAATTTCACAAATATCCTAAGAAATAAATGTATTGGTTACATTTTTTATTGATTCTTTCATTTTCTAACATACAGAATTCGGGACAGTAAATTACAAAGAATCATTAGCAGCATGGAAATATACCAGAAACTATATCAATTAATTCTTTGCCATAATTATTGAACACAAATTTTTTGTTTCAACAAAACAATGTTAAGTTTCGTTTCGACGAGAGTCTTACTTAGGCCTTCCAGTTTATCAGTTGTCAGATCCCAGCGATATATAAGAGTGTTTATATAGTTCAGTCAATAGATAGCCCAGTGACAAGGCTTGCCAGGATGAGGTTGACAGGTAAGACGTCATAAACGTAATTAATTTTCAACAGATTTTCAACTTTTAAAAAAACAAACTTGATTATGTAGACGCACAGGGAGAAGAGGGGTAACAACGGTCGATACAAACAAGTTTGTAAAGTAAAGAAAATGACATTTGGTGGATCATTTCTAACCTATACGAGTATAGTTATAGAAAGGTGTTAGCGAGATAAGCGCTAAATGACAATGCTTAGTGTACAAAAAACGCTTAATGTGTTACATTATCCGTTGCTTAAAATCATAAACTTTTTTTGTATAATTAAGCGTTACGATTGAAACGCTTAATGAAATATTTGTTTTTATTATAGAAGCGTTGTGATTGTAGGATTTTACAGGAGTTATTTTCGTGTTGATTTCTTTATAATGCCGTCACATTTACATTTATAAGAACCTAGTAAGCTAGTGTGATGAGTAGGTCAAAGTGTGATGATGTTAACAATAGCGAGAACTTTAGACAAAAATATGTGGGAAGTTCGTTTAATTAAAATTGCATTTGTTTGAGTAGATATGTTTACAAACAAAAACGAGTATGTAAAATGTATATATAAATAATATACAAGTATATACAGTAAACACATTCAAATTACGAAGGTTTTATTTAATGTTTTCCTGGGGATTTTTGTTTGTTTGTGAACTTTGAGACTTTAATTTAATTAATTAATAAAGATACCCATGTTAACAACATTCCTGTAAAAAATAACCCAATAAGCATTAGTTCAATTATTTCTTTTGATCTTTTTTCATAAGACTGATTCATTCAAGTCGTAACATTTTACTTCTGAACCTCTTTGCTGTGTTTTTGTAGTTTACATATTGGCACTATTTGTGTGTGGCGTGTATAGTTATGACTTCCGAAGTCTTGCTAAAATATTGGGAACAGCCAGAGACACAAGGAGGACTGGAATGTCAACCCATTTACATACACCCAAACCAGTGACAGGAGGATCGCATGCGACAAGTGGGTCACACTCAACAGGAGGAGAGTCATCAGCGACAGCAGGGGGTTCGTCGGCGGTATCAGCGGCTGTCAGTGCCGCCCTTGCGGCGGTGAACCCGGTGGCCGGCGCGGCATCAGTATTCCTTGCTCCATTGACTGACGGAATTGTGCAACTTGAGACGCAGTTTATGTCATATCTTAGTGAAAACATGTTGGGCAACCATCCATTTGTAAGTAGAATAGTTTAGCTACAGATGAAGTATAAAACTTGTATCAGGTTAATTGTAATATAGATTACATTTCTTTGCAAGCCCTACCTACGTACGTGTTGTTATCTAGAAGTATTCAACATTTAGTGCTTCAGCAAGATGAAAATAGATAAACTGATTACTGAAAATTTCCTTCATAAATTGTTTACAGACAGATTACAATATATCGCTTACGTTTTGCTCTAGTGGCTGTCTGAAATCAAAACCACTCTGTAGATTGCGATTATCAAATTATCTCTGATGGGTAGAATAGATTAAGAATAGCTTGAACAAGACGTTTAACGTATCGATTTTGTTATTGTTAAACATTTGTCACGGAATTATCTCCTCTCCTCCAGCACACTGTCCTTGGACGAGGTGTTAGGCTCCATGCTACAGGTAACACCGTGTCTATACAAGACGTGGCCAGTGGGATAACAGTGGTCGGGACAGGTGCCACGGTAGACGTAAGGACTTTTGAACCAATTCAATGTTACCTTCCCAACCCTCTAAGCTGCACCTTCATGCACGATTCTAAATTCCTCCGAGTTGTAAACGATTATTCGTATACATTTAAGACAGTAAATATAATATAATTTTCTCAAGCATACAGCATTCTACTACAATAGACACGTCATAGAATCACACACCGGGACATGTCACATGCTATAACGTAAGATATATCTATCGCAAAATCAATTCGGATAAAATTTAAAGTTATTTCTGCATCTTTGCCGAATGTTCAAACGTTATTACTCCTAAGTATTAATTGATGACGGCGCTCAAATATTATTCCTCGAACATTATTTTATTATAGAAGTCGTGCATACATCATTCCTCTACGTTATTATCGATGCCGTCGTAGAAAATCTTTTATCAAACATAAATATTGAAGACGTCGTAAAAACTGAACTCGTCGTACATAATTATAGACGTCTTTAAAACGTAATTCCTCTTACATTATTATTGTAGGTACCGTACAAACGTCTTAATTGTATGTTATTATTGATGACACCATACAAATTTCATTTAAATATCTTCTACCAGAACTAACCTACGAGTGTAACTAAATGAGCTATCAATTTTGTAATATTGTTGAAATAAAGTATTCGTTGAATTATGCCAAAGAGCTGTTTCATGAAATAGTGGAATGCACAGTAAGGTATCCACATCTGTTGTCTTTTACGATTTCGGTGGTCAAAGAGTGGCACGCTTAGGATTGCATTATGTTCACCTTTATTGCCTCCTAAGAATGAAAGTCAAATGATGATCATAAGGTTTTTTTACAAAAGCACAAATACAGTTGCATAAGGAGTTTTGTATCAGAATTGAGGAAACTTGGCATTATTATTAAACATTGGAAAGAGGGTTGGTTTTTTTTGTCTGTTTTTTTAGGTGAAGGTACACCAATTTTCCTTGAAAGTATATTTCCATTTACATACACACAGGCAGGGCCGTACGAATATAGGGATTTCTTATCATTATAAACGGCATTTGTCAAGTTGTCAACACATCTATACTCAAAACTCTCGTTGTTCTTTTAAACATTGTCTTATTTTGTGTATGACCGCTCTAGGAGGCTATGAGTATGGCGACACAGAAGTACGTCACCACACTGCTAGAGATGGGTTTTATCAGCAGGGACGACTTACATTTGGCACCGATACTCACCACCACTGAAGGTATGGTGTGACAGTAGAACTCTGTATCTATATAATGTCACCGATACTCACCACCACTGAAGGTAGGGTGTGACAGTAGAACACTGTATCTAAATAATGTCACCGATACTCACCACCACTGAAGGTAGGGTGTGACAGTAGAACACTGTATCTATATAATGTCACCAATACTCACCACCACTGAAGGTAGGGTGTGACAGTAGAACTCTGTATCTATATAATGTCACCAATACTCGCCACCACTGAAGGTAGGGTGTGACAAAAGACCTCTGTATCTAAATAATGTCACCGATACTCACCACCACTGAAGGTAGGGTGTGACAGCAGAACGCTGTATCTATAAAATGTCACCGATACTCACCAACACTGAAGGTATGCGTGACAAAAGACCTCTGTATATAAATAATGTCACCGATACCCACCCCCACTGAAGGTATGCGTGACAAAAGACCTCTGTATCTAAATAATGTCAACCCAATTAGTAGTTTGAATCTGGCGTCTAAATGATACATGTAAAAAATCTAGGGCGCGGCAATCGGAAATCAGTGTATGGATATCGTAGAGGGTTGTGATCTATATTATAGTCAATCACAATTTTTTTTAAAGAAACAGAAGCAAATACTTCTGTCCCTAACAAAAATCAAAATAATGAATAATTAAGGGTATAAGAAACGTCATTTTAGGACATTTCAATAGTCAACATAGGTGAGAAAAACGAAATTCCTTTCACTAGTATGTTGGCAATCATTGTGAACGATAAAACAAGGCTTCAAAGGGCACATGTATATAAAGTTACATTTATTGTAGTTTTGTAATCGGTGTCTGTTTGAAACCAGAGGTAAACGCAATAACAAAAATTATGAATAAATCATATTACAAACATTCATTCTGTGAAGTACAAGAAAATCTTCCACATCTACATACCATCATCAACGATTGATGAAAAATATTTGTCAATATGATAGGATTTTTACATTTTACCTATCGAACTTTTGAAATGAATGTCGTTGTTGATTTGTTGTTTAAGTGCCATGTGGAGACGCCTATCCTAAGTCTTACTGTGAGGACCAGAAACAGCGTGGATTCTGTTCGCCTCGCAGTGCCTATGCTACCTTCATGACCGACAATTGTTACGCTACGTGTAGGTGAGTACGGAATCTGCAAGCGAGAAATATTTCTTCATTTTGTATTATTTTCAACTTGTTTACGGTTTGCAATCTTATAAACAATTCCCTCCAACTAAAATGCGTAAATAGTAGACAACTGGAGGCATAAAAAACACAAGCGCGCTTGATAATTCTCTCGTTTTCCAATAGATATATGTATTCTTACGGCAAGGCCACAACACGCTGCCCCTATTGAAAATAGGTAAATGAATAAAGACTCAGTTGGTTTGAATAAAAACAGTGATTGAAAACGTATGTTACAAGCTTTCGAAAACGTATGTTACAATTGGTAAGCAATTAAAGAGTGCAAATGACCGGTCACAACACTAATACTTCCGCTTTCATTTACAGGGGAGGATGTTGATGACTTCAGCCCGGAAGATATTTCCGCATCACAATGTCATTTACAGAAAATATACCATTTTCATATCCGTTATATGTGTCCGAGTTTTTCTTGATACATCACTCTACGAATCTTAATTTCCCAACATAATGTCCTGTATACCTGTTATTGACTCAGATTCGATACAAAATAAAACTCCGATACGTAAATACGGAAGCCTTGATTTAAGCCAAAATGACAACAGGCAAAGATCAGTGGCAGTTTATTGCAAACCAGGTTCATGTTCTCTAGTAACCTTTCGGATTGGACTTTTGACAATTTTTGCAACGGATGTAATCCGTGCTATAAGGTTTTATCAAACACAGATTCAAGAGTTTTCGTATGTACACGTAACCGATTCCTATTTCTAATTCGTTCTTGACCGGCTTTGAAGTCAGATGTCCCTCCTTTGTAATCTTCAATCTTTAAACCATGGACGTTCCTGGGGGTCATAAGTCACAAATACATCAACGCCTTTACTTATACAATTAATATCAGCTCAGGTTCAGGAAAAATATTATCACAGAGTTTTACTAAATTACCGCAAACCAATAATCGAATTTGTCCGTGTCATTCGCGAAGCTAGTCCGAGTTTCCTCTGGCCATAACTACAGACTTAGACACACCAGACATCTATGCCATATGACAAAATGTCTTAGTCTGGTGTTAGGGCCAGTGGAAACTCGGGCTATCGCGAAGTGTAGAATAACAAAACATGAGGGAAGCAGCACCTCAGAACGATTAGGGCCGTTTCCGACAGATGCTACCCTCAACTGTCTTCTCTTCTTCTGAATTAGTGATGTCGTCAATTTTGACGTCTACGTCAATATCATGTTTGGTTGACTGCATTGCGTGAAAGATACTACATTGATTTTTTTTCTTTTAAAGTTCAATAAAAGAGGGTAAAAATGTAGGTGTGTTTATGATGCGGATGTGAGGGCTGTTGAGGGGATATTGGCCTTGAAGTCCTAATACTGTACTGCTGTTACACGTATGAGGCTCCATTGTGTTGTGGTGTAAGTGGAAAATGACAATTTGCATGTATCTTTGGTAGCAGAAATGTATTTGCAGTTGTTGGAGTGTGCATGTCTTGTTTTTTGGGTCTGTTGGTAAGGGGATTGTGCTGTGGTCTATTGCAACATGATGGTGTATAATTTTGTAGAATAGTATAAGTTTAGTTTGCAGTCTTCGTTTCTTTTATCCGTGATGGTCAGTTTGTATTGAGCTTGTATTTCAATCTAATTAAAATTATATCTTCACATCGCTCCCGTTTACTGATGATATGTCGCGTTGAAGATCTAACAACATCCCATAGACGGTCACGTCAGAGGTCAACATGAATGCATTATCGTATTTATAACAAGCCAATCAAAACGCGACATAACTCTTTCTTTCAACCAATTAGAAAGCAGGACCTGTAGCATTTAATGCAGACACCTCGTAGCCCAAAATCCACTTTTTCGTCTGGTCCAGTGATAGTTTGAATATTGCGAAGCCTGTCATTGGTTAATTTTAGTTTCAGGTTGTTAAACTTTGTAACCAGAAGAGGAAGTCTCTCTTATTTCAAAGCAAAATCCACAAATTGTACAAACGTTGTCTTGTAGATAGACACGGCGTGGTGTCATGGGCGCCGCCATTTTCGATGCTCATTTGACACCTCTCGGTCTTTTATCATAGCAAGTGTGTTCCGAAATCATTACATCATCACTTACAGAAATGCGTAAGCTCTCATCTGATTGGTTAATGCAAAGGTCGCCTGAACATGACCCTCTACGGGATGTTGTTAGATCTTCAACGCGATATATCAGTAAACGGGAGCGATGTGAAGATATAATTTTAATTAGATTGCTTGTATTTCGGTATGTGTTGAGACCGTATCGTGCTGCTCTGCACTGTATCTTCTCTTGTTTTGGTTTATGTGGGACCCATATACAGAAGAGTGGTATTCCAGTTTGGGTCCGACCATTGCATTGTATGCATGCTCTTTTATATATTGGGGGTATATTTTCAAGTGACGTTCTAGAAATCCTAGTTATTTGTTTGCATCGGAGGTGATGTTGATGTGCGGTGTCCATTGGACATTGCTCTGTAATGTTAATCCTAGGTATAGACTGGAGTCTACTTGTGGTATTATGTGGTTGTGGAATTTTAAAGTGCTTTTAGTTTTGATACGTGTGTTTGGTGTGGAGATAATGTTACACTTGGAGCAACAATTGGTTTTTGAGATTCCATCATGGAAAGTGTAAATCAACAAACGTATTACGTATCTGTGCCTACTGTAGTGTTAGTGGGAGTCTTAATGATAATAACTACCCCTACTATATACTTAAAATAGATAAGCGTATTACATAGGGTTTATTGATATTACTATTGTTCGTATTGTTGACAGAATTTCAGACTCTAGTGGTAAGAACTAGGAGATACCGGTTGTTTTACTACCGACCCATGGCCAGTACCCCTCATAAATAGTATCCCGGTCACTAGTCCGAATTATTCTGACGTTTTATCGACTTTTTTCATATCGGTCTGTCGTCGATTAACGTCAGAACTCTGGCACACATTAATTATACAATCAAACACTGAACATCCATTCCGTATAGGTGAATTTTTATCGTATGGTCAATTAAGGGACCCCGCATGCTCCTGGTATTTTCTATTAAAATAATCCCTATCTGTCTTGCATGCAGATCAGCAAAGTCCCATGGACCTTAGATTAGGTGATATAATCCACATGCTTGTTAAAAATTAATAATACCTGTATGCTTAAGCCAAAATCTGAAACCTTAACACCTTTGTTAACAAGTACATATACTTCAGTTTAAAATCGATTAAAGCTATAACGCCCAAAATAATACAAGTTATATTAGTGTGCGACTTGATTTTCATGGCATACAAGATACAAGATACAAGAAAATGTATTTTTGTCGTATATATATATATATGATGAAATATTAGCTCTGATGAGTTATTCTTACGACATATCATATAAAAATATCACAGTGGGCATAAATGAACAAAAAAACGCATTAAGAAACAAAAGCACAACAAAAATGAAAAAAAAAAGAGAAACGGCTATAAAAAATATTTTCAGTAAAGACGATTGTTCTGCTACATTTCATTTTTTATTATTTGTATAATTGAAACACACAAATATAATTTTACATAATATCTTGTGGATATTGTAGTGATTATCTGATATATCCGGATATTTAACGCGTTATTAGTTTTCCCCGGAAGTTGTTATCGTACACGCGTACCTTACTTCCGCTTGTTTAATGTTCTGACACTGAGTACTGAAGACGAATTTAAGTCAAATAACAATAGAAATAGACAGTTGATCCTTGTTTTGCATTTTAAGAAATACAAAAGATGTCTTCAGTGACTAACAATGCCAACGATCCTCGTCGAGCAGCCAAAGTAAACAGGTAAATTGATATATTTTTACTCGCCTTATTCAACCCTTGCCTTATAATCGGCAGGAAGTGGAACACCGGTAAATCTGACTGAAAAGCGGATTTGGATATATGTAGCTACGTATGACTTTATGAGAGTAAACCAACAAGTTCTTAATAGTCTCGATGATCTCGTGCACATTGGAAAGAAAAGGTGGACCAAGCTGGCAAAGATGCTGGACAGATTTTTGTAATACTCTATCATAGTATACAGTATATACACATCATATAAGTGTGTCCAGCACCTTGTGATCAGAGGGGTTCGTTACAAATGTCTAAAAAAGTACAAATAATCTATAGGTTATAGCACACCAATGCATACAGGTATTTGTCCCATATAGCCAGATTTAATTTGCTGATGCTGCATTACGTATGCCTGAACAGTAGAGTTGGTACTATAATAATTATATTGTATGGTAAAAAAATCAAGGGAATATTTTTCCTTCGTGCTAGTCACAGAAATTCTCTTGCAGATATTGAGTCACAAAGCATAAGATTCAAGACCTGTTGATTATTTTGATTTGGTGTCTGTGATAATGAAATACCAAAAGGATAGTTTTTTTAAAAATTACCAACAACAACATACCAGCAAGTGTAAGAACACTACAAGTTATGAAGGGTTTTTATACCTGCATATGGCTGTCATTGTAAATTTATTGTCAATGGTCAGGACATTTTTTGTCAAAATGATGTGCTTACAGAAGAACTAATAACATCAGGTGATACGGACCAGGTAACATCAGCTTCACCTATTTACATATGATAAACGCTTGCATTAATTCTGTGTATTTCTTACTATGTAGATACAAACCTCCTCAGCCTGGCGGGCCCTCAGATGATCCGACCCCTGACTACATGAACCTCCTCGGAATGATCTTCAGTATGTGTGGATTAATGATGAAGGTACGACACTCTTTAAATTTTAAAAACAATGAATTTTACCCGAACTGATGACGTGAATTGAATTGAATTCAAAAACAAAGCATGCAATATGATAAAAATTATAGCAATATAATTTACTATCAATTGTTCCTTTATAACCGTCCTTCTACACAAGGTTTCACAAAATTCTAACATGAGACTTTCTTTCCATAAGTGACATCACAAAGAATATAAAAGGAAAACAGTAGTAAATTGGAACGGAATATTAAAGTTTTATTGTTTGTCATACCCAGGTATTAACTCATTCACCCCTGAAGATACATTTGAACTCTTCCAATTCAAAAGGTTGGAATAACTCATTATGAAATTTCGGGGGTGAATGAGATAATGCCAAGGACTTGCAGTAGGGTGCCCAATTAGTCCCTCATCATATCAAATCTGCATACCTGTTTAAGCAGCTGAACACCAATTTATTAGATTAATAATATGACAACTGTTTCACAAGTATAGTTATAGTATCATACTACCAGATAGTTCTCTAACTATAGCTGTAGTACTGTACGTATACAATACTTTGTAGTCCCAAGTTTGGCTCTAATAACAGTCTTTAACCTGGACCTGTATTCATGAAACCGCCCTCATGCTCAAGCATGGATTTTGTACTCAAGTCTAATTTCTTGTTCTGGTTTATTTTGTCAATGATTTGGAAAAAATTGAAGAGATTTAAAGCCAATACTGTTTTCAATGTTTGTATTTGACTTTTTGATCGTTTTACAAGATTTAAGCTAGTTAAGAGAAAGTTGGTTTGAGCACAGAATCCATGGTTGAGCATGAAAATGGTTTCATGAATAAGGGCCCTGGTGTTTGGGCCAGAGGAGATTTGGGCTATTTTACTGTGATGGTTAAATCATACCAGACCAACTGATTTCCATTCTTAAGTTTTGAAACATGCTGTTTATTCATTTTGGCATCTATAAACCTGTTTCTTAAATGCTCATAATTTACCTTTTTTTTCATCTCTAGTTGAAGTGGTGTGCCTGGGCAGCAGTTTATTGTTCGTTTATTAGTTTTGCTAATTCTCGAACCTCAGAAGATACAAAACAAATGCTCAGTAGCTTCATGTAAGTATAATTATCAGTTCATCAGTAATGTTTATGTAAACCCTTTGTCAATTTGTTAACATTTGTCAAATACAAACTTTTAACATTTACAAATTTTCATTTTTGGTTGATACTGCAAAAAATTAAAACCATCAAACATGCTATTGTATGTAGACAGTGTGTCACATGAATAAATTACATGTGCTGTGAAAGAACTCTCTACGACACATGGTATATTGAACATCTATTCTCACTTAAAAAGTCGTCAAGATGCACGGTAGTCTAGTGGTAGGAGGCTGGGCTCGTGGCCGAAGGGTTGCTGGTTCGAGTCATGGCACGGCACTGTGTTGTATCTTTGAGCAAGATACTTTACTTCGTTTGTTCCAGTCTACTCAGCTGTAAATGAGTACGTGGTTGGCAGTGCTAGAAATGTTGAATGCTAGCTATGAACTTCAAAATGGCAGCACTGGTTGTATGCTCCCCAGGGAGGTGAGAATGATATAGGCTGGTTGCTAAGGCCCTATAACCACGGATAATAATTTGTAAACCGTTTTGAGATGACCTACAAACTAGGTTGTGATAAAACGGTAACTGTGAACCTAGAATTATTATTATGTGCATTGTATTGATATACATTTTTGTATTAGGTTGAAAATTTACCATCAAGCATCTGGACTTGGGTATACAGATTATTCCTTTATTTCAATCAGAATAGCAAAGGCACTTTGGAAAGGTTATTTGATTTCATTATCAGTGTTCATGTTTTGCTACAGAGATTTCAGAATACTGCATTTCTTTTTCAGGTTGTCTATATCAGCCGTTGTGATGTCCTACCTCCAGAATCCCCAGCCCATGACTCCTCCCTGGTGAAAGTCCATTGGATATTGGAAATGTTTAAGTGAAAAATTAAAACTAAGGAAGATAACTGGAAATCTTGACACACACAGACTGAGTTGCACTAGTGTCAAGTAACATCAGTGGTGGTAGATTTAGAGTGGTGTACTGGCAAGGCTTGACATCCACATCATCAAACAATACCATTAGAATTTTATCAGAAATCCGAATTTAGAAGACCAAATTTGATCCCAGCTTTCAACTCTACATAGAATGCCAGACGTTGAACTTTTGTGGTTTTTAAACATTTTGATGCATTCGGACACCAAACATCTGTGACTTTCTTTCTCACTTTACAAGTGGTTTAAAAACCTACAGAGTTTCTAGTTGAAGTATTGGTAGTCCATACATGTTAGTTAGGCCACAAACAGTTTTCATATTGAGGTTAAACCATCATTGTTTTTTTTACGTTTTAAATGGTGCGCCTCTCTTGTGAGGATTTTGTAATTTTACAAGACGACTAGCCATTGGTTTTTAAGGTAACTTAAAAAATGTAATTTTGGATCAGAATGTCAAAGGCAAATTTGAAAAAATAAATTCAGCGCAACATCATTGTAGCTAAAATGTTAACTACATTTAAAAGCAGGGTGTCCAGGTACAAGTTCACCAGAAGCTTTCATTTCTAGTTCAACTTTATGGAGGTGATGTATCTAGTACTCTTTCTAACCTTCTGAAGATTATTGATTTTATGCAGATTTAGTTTTGTTTAGAAGTTTGTGCGAGTGCGAGTAAACCTGTGTATGGAAATTGACTTATTAACTCATTCACCCCTGAAATTTCATAATGAACTATTCCAGCATTTGAATTAGAAGAGGTCAAATGTGTCTTCAGGGATGAATGAGTTAAATGGAAGAATTTATCTGTAATACCCAGAGTACATGTGTAAATGTGAATATACATATTTATATGGAAATGTCAATTAAATTTATACCTATAAAATGTTATGTTGTTTTATTTATGACTTAACAATTCCAAACCACATGGAATATAAGCAAGCGTTATTTCTTCATCCCATGTTATATCTGTGATAAAGGGGAGGTAAGTATCAAGCTATAGGTGGGATGCAAGTGTTTCAAACGTTTTACAATTGAAATGGACATCAGTGGAAGATGTTTATATCGGTCTCGATTTCAAAGATTTACATCTATTTCCCCTATACGGCCCCACCAACAAATTTAGGTGAAATCACTGAAACCATTTGAAGTAGAAAGATTTCACATACAATGTGTATTTTCCCTCCTATTAGCCCGTCCCTCTGCACCCTCAGTTTATACAAACTTCAATCACTGTATTGATACAGAAGGAGAAGGATATTAATATTTCCCCCTATTACCCCAAAAGAGCCACAACCTTATGTATATCCTGGTGTTCAAACTATTTGTTTAGTTTGACTTGTAGATATGCCGAGTCTATTTTATACTTTAATATAAATACTTGCACTTGTTATGTGTATTTCGGTATGCATATATATATCTACATCTGTCATGGTTTGTGTAATGTGCCTGCATCGTATCAGGTTGTTATTGTGACGTGTGAGAGTCGAGAGATAGCATCGGCTGACGAGAGAGAAATATTGACCCTGCACGAACCCGTTTGCACGTGGGAACCTCATGATCGGCCGAGTGCCCCACGTGTATCTCAAAAACCAGCATGCAGGTGTACTCCCATAACATGAGAGGCCGCTGGTCGGCATGTTTTTCAATCGGATATGATTTTGCCGACTGTTACGCGGCGCCTGTCAAAAGTTTTTCGCCGTGTAAAACCTCTAACATTGTTGGAGTACATGCAGGTGTTGCTCCTATTGTGCTTCACAGCCACAGAGTAAGATAAGCCTAATCTAAATGACATTTTCTGCATGAAATATACTTAATAGTTATAAACAAAAATATCAAATACTTATTAGAATAATTTATAAATACTTTTACTGTATTTGGAATAATACTTTATAAGTATATGCCCGTTGTTACAACATCGTGGTGTCGCTATAATAGGATCAGACATACATGTAGTGTGGAGGTATGATGTTACGGTAACGGGGTTGAAAAATAATAAACCACAGAATTGATAATATTATAAAACTTCTTTAGGTAATTAATACTTATTAAGGTGATGACGAACAAATACACGTTAACATGTAACGGGAAATCATTGTCAGACGTAGTATGGTTTTATTTTAGGTCACCGCTTCCTTCTTCGCTACATGGTTGTCTCCTTGTTGTGCAATTCAACAGTTTATCCGATGTAAAATGCCCGAGAGTTCTAAATAGACAGGATACAGGAAAACCCATATAATAATAACATTTAAATACTTGTGTGACTTATACAAACTCGAGTCCCCTTTGCCTAGAGTCCATCTATAACAACTTGGGTGAAAATTCCTCTATTCATAAGGAAAAGAGAAAGATTTTTAAAACTTAGCCTAATTTGGCCCCACTTATCTGCCCCTAGTGCGGCACACCCTCCATTTCCAGTATACAAAATTGAGAACCAATCGGTCAAATTTGGTCGAAATCTACTTAGCCATTCAGGACTAGAAGCTTAGCATTTTAAAGGAAAAAGTTGACGGACGACAGTCTCTACCAGTGGCGTAGCATTCATGTATGTTTGTATGCTCAAGTATACACTAAAAAAATTAAGATTTTTTTTAATCATATATTTTCATTATTATTTTTTATGATTAATATGGACTGTCGGTATCAAGATAAAAAGGGAAAATCTTCTTGAAAACTTCAGTCTGATAAAATATTGTTGTTAGGTCTAGACACATTGACAAATCACGAAGGTATATGTAAATGAATTCTTTTTTTAAAGAAGTACAAAATTTAATATCATTCATATGAAAAGTTGGGTTTTACTTGTTAATAATCAGTCTAAAAGGAGTTCCCAGAACACGGGAAATTGCTTTTAAAACAGAATTAGATTAGCTATCTAAGTCCATGCTTCTAGGACCTAGTAGGTGTTTTTCAGCTATGATCCCTCCCATAACCTCCCCTTCCTCCGGCGTTACGCGCCTCGGACGCTCGACCCTCTGTAAGCATACACTCCGAAAAATGATTTGCTCTACGCCATAACATACACTCACTAGTCCTTGTCCGTTGTGGAAATACTTTTTCAAGTTTCCTATTCCCCTGTTCCTTGCTGTCACATTATCCCGTTACTTTAGGGTGCTGTTGATTTCCCGATCATGTATATGTATATGTCGTTTATTATCTTAATATCCTCCTAACATATATCTCCCCTGATCCGTCTACAGGCGAGTGTTGGTAACTTCGGCTAATCTTTCTGTGGATGTAAGATCCTTCATTCCTGGTAATTGTTTTGTTGACCTCCTCTGGACACCTTCCAACTTTTCTACGTCCTTGATTTTTAATGGTGACCAAAAGCCGAGCTGGCAAAATCGAGGTGAGTTCTAACCAGTGTTTGATATACAGTACGTGGCAAAAATTCTCAGCATAGCAAACATGAAATTGGCCTTGATTACTTTTTCGCTTAAATTGTCTTCAAATGAGAGATTAGAATCTATTGTGATGCCGATATCTTTCTCTGATTCCGTTTGTGCCAAAAGTACTTAATTGATAAAATATTACTTGGATTCTTCCTTTGTAAGTATTCCAATATGCATGTGTTTGCATTTTTTATGGGTGTACTTGTAACAGCCAGTTTTGGCTCCATTCTGCCATACTGTCCGAATCGTATTTTAGCATTGACTTGTCCTTGTCTTTCTCAATGATTTAAAATATTTCGGTGTCATAAGAATAGGAATATAAACCAGCTCACCCTATCCGGAAGATCGTTTACAACATTCCAAACAGTATTGTTCCAAGAACGGCTCCCTGTGGGATTCCTGACGATACTTGTGTCCGTTCAGACACCTCCCCGTGTACTACCAGTCCACCCTTTGTATTATGTTCCACAGGAAGCTGTTGATCCAAAATAACAACTGATTTAAGAAGCTGTACGCCTTTATCCTATTTAGTAGCCTTTTGTGCGGATGGGTGTCAATTTTATTTTTATAATCTAAAAAAATATGGTCTATCGATGAATATCAAGCACTAGCACTTCCAACATATGTAGTGTGATAGATCTCCCTGAAAGGACTCCAAATTTGTTTGATGTGAACGGGTTGGTCATTTTCATAAAGTTTACGATATGGAGACACAGTAGTCTAGTGGTAGGACACCGGGCTCATGACCGAAGGGTTGCGAGTTTGACTCACACCACGGCCCTGTGTTGTATCTTGTTCATGTTGCATTGGTTACAACGAAAAAACAAATTCAGATGTAAAGTTATTTTTTTTAATTCAGTTGAAAAGTTCTGAGAAAAATAACACAACAAATTGTAAACAATATGTTAATAGAACTACTTCCCGCGCTCCGCGGAATAACGGACTAAGCAGGTTGATAATAAGCTGATGTATTCATACGCCAACTGGAAAGTTCATTGAACAAGAGGCCCAGAGGGCCTGTTTCGCTCACCTGGATAATAAAGCAACCATGGGAAATTATTTTCATGACAAAAGATCCCTCCAATGGAATAAAACTTAAATTCCCGTATTGGGCCCCTCAACTCTGCACCCAGAGGGGCCACACCCTGCAATTATACAAAATTAAGTCTCCTTTGCCCAAGGATGTTCCGGGCTAAATTTGAATGAAATCCCTCCAATGGTACAAACGAAGAAGGATTTTGAAAACATAAACCTCAAATTCCCATTTTGAGCCCTACCCCTCTGCATCCAAAGAGACATAACCCTTTGTTATACAAAATTTAGTCCCCTTTGATAAAGGATACTCCAGGATAAATTTGGATAATATCCCTCCAATAGTACAGAAGGTGAAGGATTTTAAAAACTTAAACCTAAAATACCCCTTTTGAGCCCCGCAACTCTGCACCCAGAGGGGCCATACCCATCTTTTATACAAAATTAAGATCCTTTGTCCAGGATGCTCCAGACCAAATTTGGATAAAATCCCTCAAATGGTACAGAAGGAAAAGGATTTTAAAGATTTCAACCTCAAATTTCCTCTTTGAGCTCCGTCCCTCTGTACCCAGAGGGGCCACACCCACCGTTTATACAACATTGGGTCTATTTTGCTCAAGGGTGCTCTATACCAAATGGGGATAAAATCCCTTAATCCCTATGGTAGAAGAAGGATTTCTAAGGTTTTGCCTCTATTTCCCCTATTAGGCCCCGTCCCTCTGCCCCCAGGAGGTCCAAACCCACCGTTAATACAATATTTAGTCCCTTTGGCCCAAGGATGTTCCAGACCAAATCGGGATGAAATATTTTAATCCCTGTTGTAGAAGAAGGATATTTAAGATTTATCTCTATTTCCCCTATTGGGCCCCACTCCTCTGCTCCCAGAGGGGGCCACACCTACCGTTTATACAAAGGATGCTCCAGACCAAATTTAGTCAAAATCTACTTGGTCGTTCAGGACAAGTAGCGTTTTAAAGGAAAAGCTTACGAACGGAAGACGGACGCTCCGGTATGGCATAAGCTCACCATGGTCCTTCATATATTGAGTCCTAGTTCAGTAGAAATGTAAATATTATTGTTTAAATCATAGAAAGTCTCAATTCTGCACTTAAACACCTTTCGTAAACAAAGAACCTGGGCAGTCGATTGATTGTCGCTACGCAGGAGTGAACAACAACGGTATTGTCATTGATGGCTGATCAGGACCTGGCCATCCGTGCCAGAATGAGACAATTTATCTGAGTCTGATAGGCACCTTTGAACATTCGACTTAAACTAAGGAAACTTTAGTATAATTGTTCAGGTAGGGACTGAAATATTTCAATTTCAACAAATTTTATTTACATAAAGAATATTACACCGTCAAAAGGACTGGACAACAGGCTTAAAGCCTATATAAGTCCTCACCCTTGGTGGTATATATATATATATATATATGGACCTATTGTATTGATATTATAATGATAAATAATTACAATTTTGCTTATTGTCAATAATTAATCATGAGAAGCAGGTATCATATTTGACGTAGAACCTTTTAGACAATGCAAACGTAAGAAGATAGGAATAAAAACCCAAGTGTACATTTCAAGACCTCGTGCAACTGGTGTTTAATACATGTACATTACTATAATTTAGCAATGGATACAATATAATTATGTACTTATGTTGATTGATGGTTGATTGATGGTTTAATTTCTTGTACACGTAGATTTAATCAATGTTTGTCTATCCATTGTGATTCAATCTGCACTTTTTGGTATAAAGAAAAGTTGCAGATATATAAAATGTATAGATGATTATATGTAATACTATGATCACAAAATAATCAGCTTAGTAATTCAGATTATATATTTCTTCTAGACATTGCCTAAAGTTTCACCGCCAATTATGTACTTAAATACTATTAGATATTTATATATTTAATGGACATATTTTACAAAGTATGGAATAGGTGGGAAAAGGGGGATAACTCCCATAACATAGTACTAATTAGATACAGTCTGCAATATAGGTAATATATATATGTTATAAACCGCATTTAGTATACAAGTAATAATAATACAATATCAGATTGAAGACAGCACAGTCCTTGTGTTACGTTAAGGTCTTCAACTGAACACTGTACAGGATCCAAAGCAAATGTAATTGCGGTATGAATTCACAGTAATAATGCATTTGATAATACATGTATATGGTGAAATTTTGTGAGACATACATAGATACATCACTGCTATCCTCTGTCAGACTTTTATGAAACATACATACATAAATACACAACAGCTATCCTCTATCAGACCTTTGTGAGACATACATACATAGATACCCCACTGCTAGCCTCGATCAGACTTCTGTCTGGCATACATACATAGATTCACCACTGCTAGCCTCGATCAGACTTCTGTCTGGCGTACATACATAGCTACACCACTGCTAGCCTTGATCAGACTTCTGTGTGGCATACATACATAGTTACACCACTGCTAGCCTTGAACAGACTTCTGTCTAGCATACATACGTAGATACACAACAGCTAGCCTCTGTCTGGCATACATACATAGATACACCACAGCTAGCCTCTGTCTGGCATACATACATAGATACACCACCGCTATCCTCTCGATGGCAGGATTCCACACTTGATAATCAGCCTGTGACTGTGCTGAATCCCAGTAAGCCCTGATGGTCCTGTGATTGTCCCCGAGTGTCTGGTAACAGATCCCCAGGAGAGTGTGGACTATCCAGAATCGGTGTCCTCCTTGGTCATCATCACTCTGGACCTCTATGAGGAGCCTTAATGCTTCATCACGCCCTGTAGTATCTCCAAGTTCATGACAGCAGAGGAAGGACAGGAGCAGTGCATAGGGTAGTGGTGGGATAATCATATCTGTTTGTCCTTTTAACATTTCCTGACAGAGATGAGGAAGATACAAGCCCTTCTTTGAAAAAGACAATTTGTTTGTGTACATTTTCTTAAGCCTGTCTGAGGAATGTTCAAATTGATGATACAAATGGCTATACACTGCCCGTAGTTCTGGATGTAAATCTATATATCTGGTGTAATATGATGCTAGTTTCATCACTTGTTCGCACATTTCCAGAGTTTTAAAGAAATTTCCAGTCAAAAAATGAAAAGTTGCCAAATTTAGCAGTTCCGTTCCCATGGAGGCTGTGGTAACCATCAAGTGTTTACATTTCCTTAGACTTCTGTACCTGGTCTTGTTGTCTGTAGCAACCATGTGCTCCGGATAAACCTGCTCTGTTGCAAGACTTTGTAGGTATGGCATAGCATAAGTGAATGTGAAAAGTTCATCTGATTCTGACTGTGATGTCGAAAATGAATTAATTGCCTTCCTGAAGGTACTACGATTACTAAATGAAGCTTTATATATGCAAATTATGTGTTGCAGATGGCACATAAGTTGTCTATCTTGTTCGAATGCAGTGGTCTTTGTAGTCTTGGGGTTCAAAAGTACAGCTTGTACTGAAGAATCACACAGTTGTTCCCATATAGGTTTGATGAAGTTTCCAACTGAAAGACACATCCACTTCATCTGGTGGTAGTTGCTCAAAACATCTAACAGAATTTGCTGATGTTCTCCATGGACTTTCCTCTTGAATAGGTTGTTGGCTGGGATGAAGTAACTGGGACAGAAACCTGCCTTGACCAAAGCAATAAGTATTTTGAAGCAAAACCAAAAACAATAAAATAGGTTTTTCTCTTGCCAGAACAGTTGGTTGGAATTCTCAATAGCATGAAAAAGGATTGTCTTTAAGAAATAGGAGCACAAGATATCATCATCCCCAATGGTTTCTTTTAATACTCCTTTTATTTGTTTCAAATAATATTTCAGCAAAGTATAAACTTTGAATTGGATGTGACTAAAGGAGTGAACTAAAGATCTCTCTGCTGTTGCAAATGAAAATCTCCATTGGAGAAAAGTGTTCTCAGAACACTTGTCTCCAACTGGGACAAGATGACATCCATGGTGTACGATATTGTCTATCAAGGTTTGATGTGGCCATCCATACAGACGTGTACGTGTAATCCATTCATTAGCTTCCTTTGGCCAACTATGCCATGGAAAACACAAAGCAATGTCTTGTTGTTGATCACCTGCCATTGTATCTTGTGTACAGGCTGGTCCATTCGATTCCACTTTCACCCCTAATTGTTTACGAACGCCACTGACAAATTGCTCTCTAAAGATATCACTGGAAACAAACATCGAATCCTTAATTCTAACTAGTGCATTACACAATACGGGTTCTCTTTTTTGTAACTGATGAAGCTGGAGGAAGACATAGCCAGGGCGGCAATCTGCTGCTCTTGCGTACAGAATTGTTTTGTGTGCCATATTTGGAGGAATACACTGATCAGGGTACATAACTATAATTTCCTTACAAATGACCATTGTGTCTCTATCTGAACCCAATAGATCAACTCCCTCTGCAGTACTTCCAGCTCGAAAGACAGAAAGTGATTCATCACTTTGAAAATACCCCAGTGAAACATATGACTTTCTTCTGATATCTACCTCTTCTTGTGTCACCATGAAAGCCCATTCGATGTATTTTGACAGAAGCACTGACATCCGCTCGTTCCCTGTGGAATCCATCATCAGATGTTTACCTTCAGGACTTAATCTGTAATGAAGAAACTGAAGCTTATAAAGAGGAAGACTGTTGTAATCTCTGCCTTTCATCAACTAAACATTCAGAGTGAAGTGTTAAATACATCTGTATATACATGAACGTGTTTGTCAGACACTGAAATACATTGAGGATATAATCATACAAGCTGACTGATAGCATAAAACAATTCAAGCATCATTCAATGTTTACTGATTACTCAGATTCACCAGTGTGTTGACATTTTTCCATCCTGTTTTATATAAATTGATGGGAAATGACGGAAATCAGTGATGGTTGCCTGTCTAGAACCTAATACAGTAATGGCGGAGCGTGACAGGAAATTTAATGATTTGCCCTTTAATTATGTATAATGATGTGTATTTCTTGAGTATAGCAGAAAACCAATAATTTTCATAAGCAGGAGTATATTTGTATCGTGGTACGTATCGTATTGTAAGCATCGAACCGCGATGCGTATTGTAAGGTGAGGTATTCGTATCGTTGCAGCCCTACTTGCCATACTAGGGAATACAATTGAATTTTCTATCCATTACATTTTAGGTCACCAGAGCCAAATGCTCAGTGTATACATCAATGTAGTCCGAATTATTCTGACGTTTTATCGATTTTTTTTATATCGGTCTGTCGTCAAAGACCGATATAAAAAGTCGATAAAACGTCAGAATAATTCGAACTAACATCAATTGTATAGCAGAGCAATCACATATTCTATCCTCACTACAACTGAGTATGTAAAACTGCAGTGAATATAGAGTACCATTCTGATTGGTCAATATTAAAAGTGATACCTTCACATGATTGGGAAAGATGTATAGAAACACGAGGCTCAGAGGGACTGTATCGCTCACCTGTTTCTTTTGTTACATGCAACTGACATATAGGTAACTAGAACACAAGACATTCTAACATCTCTTAAACGATTCTGAAGATATTGTTGTTTGAAACTTGAAATTTTAATTTTAAAGCCTTTAACCCATATTGACCTTTGACTCCCGACTTGCACTTAAATTTGACCTTTGACCTCATTACTGTAATAGGAAAACAAATTCACACAGCTGATCTACATAACATACCCAAGTATCATGACTCTAGTCCAAATGGTTCTTAGGATATTGTTGTTTGAAGTTTTTAACAAATTTGACCCCTGTGACCTTGAAAGCAGGTCAAGGTCATTTTAATGAGGAAACTTAATAACACTACATCCCATGTACCTACTGGCCAAATATAATGACCCTAGGTCCTACAGTTCTTCAGATGAAGTCGTTCAAAAGAAAAAGTTGACGGACGGACGACGGACGCCGCAGTATGGCATAAGCTCAGATGGCCCTTCGGGCCAGGTGAGCTAAAAATCTAGCAGCACTGAATCTGTAATTTATAGTCCTAAGCAGGCTTGAACTTTAAAAGCAAGTCAGTAATGATGTTTAAAATATACCAGCAGGAAATATATATCAGGAAAATTCTGCTGAATTTATTAGTATTTAGCTAGCAAAGACAAAAGTTGGAAATATCTATATTCGATCATGAATTCTGTAGTCGATTAATCAGTTTATTGGCCTAACTGACCAAAAGTTGACGAAGTTGACTAATCAGTTTATTGGCCTAACTGACCAGTAGTCGACGAAGTTGCAGATTAATCAGTTTATTGTCGACGAAGTTGATTAATCGGTTTATTGGTCTAACTGACCACTGGTCAGCAAATTTGATTAATCAGTTTATTGGCCTAACTGACCAGTAGTCGACGAAGTTGATTAATCAGTTAATTGACCTAACTTACCACTGGTCTACAAAGTTGATTAATCAGTTTATTGGCCTAACTGACCACTGGTCTACAAACTTGATTAATCAGAATTTAATTATGTTACTTTGGAGGAAATTATTGCTTACCTGCAAACAGCATCAAACTTTGTAGACTCCTTGGCTTAAAATTGCAATGTGAATGACGACTGAACACTAATAAGTCTGTTGTTGCAGGGTGACTCTGGGCTCTGGCTTGCAAGTAAGGAACATGTCTTGACTCTGCTCTGCTCTGTACGTCTCGTAACTAAGGCTTTTAGAATAATCTGGTCCGTTTTAAGCGCTGCAAATACTTCCTGTTTCGATGGCGACGACAGTCGGTCAAGTACCACTTGTATTGTGAGTAAGCGTGTCATGATACATCAATAAACAACAAAATATTTCATGTGAAAAAGGCAAACTCTGACGCGTATGTAATACCATTTGTATCAGAGAAAGACTCAAAAGTGGTCGCATAACAGGGTTGGTGTCTAACACATTCACCCCTGAAATTTCATAATGAACTATTCCAACCTTTGAATTGGAGGAGTTCAAATGTGTGTTCAGGGGTGAATGAGTTAATAGAGAATCGATGGATATAAACAGAACACCAACATCACTGCACTTCAAAGTCAAGTGTTTCATGTAAATAATATCCTGGTAAACTTGGGTTTGTGCCAGTATCAGTTCACCTATAGGAAACAAAGACTTTTAAAAACACTTATTGTGTGACGATGATGAAAAATATAAGGAAGTATAACTTGTTCGACTGACTCAGGGAATTGCATCCTTCCTAATATACTTTGGTCTAACATTGTTCTTTGACCCACACTGAACCAGGGGCCTTGACAAACTCACCATGCGCTTGAAAATTGACAGTGTCACAAATGACAGGGATGTTTTTTAATGCTTAGATGTCGAAAATGGACTGCTTTAATCAGACCAGTGTCAGAATTTTTCACAATAAAACCTGATTCATATAAGGTGTCTACTAATTATAAAAAAAAGCATTTTAACAGTATTTCTACATTGAAAATTACATGTTGAATTCCTGGAATAGTTGAAAGTTCCACTAAATTGGCCAAATAACAATCGCACTCATACATCCATTATCAAGGATTCAGCTGAAGGTTTTCTGACTTATTTGGTAAACCCAGGTAGGGTTACGTGACCATGGTTATGGCCCTTTGTTTATTAGTACCGTAAGGGACTATGGCCATACTTTCCTTGTGAAGCAGTCTATAACATTATTATCAAAAGAGGATTTTGCAATAGTAAAGTCATAGGAATGAATTTCTAAACAAACGATGTGGCTCCAATAAGGAGCATATAGGACTGAAGACAAATAAGGGAAAATCGAGTGTGGCTGGACAGGCACTAACTTAAAATAAGACATCCCTGGTCTAAGGGGGAATACGTTGTTGAAAGGGTTAAAGGTTGTGCATGAAAAATGGATGTGTTGACCTCCTTTGGGACTGAGAAGTAGGGCCCATTAGGAAAAATAAGGGTAATCTAAAAGACTAATCCTTCAGTACAGTTCGCTCTATATGAACATGATTTAGTATGAAGCATCCCCAGACCAAGATAGTGATGGACAATCGCTTTAAAATCAAAATCAATAATTGGTTTGTAATCGGAAGTACACTGTAGTAAACCAAGTGATGATCGATTTCATGATTGGTACTGCTATATGAGTATATGGGACTGAATAACCCCAAAAAAGTGAAATAACGACTATAGGAATACAGGGATTTTATCCATATTTAGTCAGAGCAACCTTGGGCAAAGGGGACTCAATTTGGTATGTTTGGTGGGTTTGTAACTCCTGGGCGCAGAGTTGCGGGGTCCAATATGGAAAATAGAGGTTAAATCTTGAAATGCCTTCTTCTACCGTAGGGATAAAGGAATTTTATCCAAATTTAGTCTAGAGCAACCTTGGGCCAAGGGGACTAAATTTTGTATAAACCGTGGGTGTGGCCCCACTTGGGGCAGAGGGGCTTGGCCAAATAAGGGAAATAGAGTACAAGCTTTTATATCCTTTTTCTACCATATGGATGAAGGGACTTTATCCCAATTAGTTCTGGAGCATCCTTCTTGCAAGGGGACTCAATTTTGTCTAAACCGTGTCTCAAAAGGGGAATTTGATGTTAAAATCGTTAGAATTCTTCTCTTTCTTTACTATTGGAAGTATTTTATCCACATTCGGCCTGGAGCATCCTTGGGCAAAGGGGACAACATTTTGTATAAACAGAGTGTTGTGGCCCTCTGCGTGCAAAGTTGCAGGGCCCACTAGGAGAATTTGAGGTTTAAAACTTGTAGATCCTTCTTCTTCTGAACCATTGGAGGGATTTTATGTAATAAGAATAACTTCCCATGGTTGCTTTATTATCCAGGTGAGCGATACAGGCCCTCTGGGGCTCTTATTTGTATTTGGCAGTCATCTCGCTGTTTATACGAAATTGAGTCCCCTTGACCCAAGGATGCTCCAGACTAAATTAGGATAATATCCCTTAATCCCTATGGTAGAAGAAGGATTATAAAGGTTTTACCTCTATTTCCCCTATTGGGCCCTGCCCCTCAGGTCACAGGGGGGCCACACCCACCGTTTATACAAAATTGGTTTCCCTTTACCCAAGGATGCTCGACACCAAATATGGACCAAATCCTTTCATTCCTACAGAAGAAGATTTTTAAAGAATAATTTACTATATTTCCCCTATTGGGCCCCGCCCCTCAGGCCCCTGGGGGGCTAGAGCCACGTTTTATACCAAATTGGTTCCCCTTCACCCAAGGATGCATCAGACCAAATATGGAAAAAAATCCTTTCATTCCTACAGAAACAGAAGGATTTTAAAGAATTTGCTATATTTCCCCTTTTGGGCCCCGCCCCTCAGCCCTCAGGGGGGCCAGACCCACCGTTTATACAAAATTGGTACCCCTTTACCCAAGGATGCTACACACCAAATATGGACAAAATCCTTTCATTCCTACAGCAGAAGAAGGATTTTAAAGAATAATTTGCTATGTTTCCCCTATTGGGCCCTGCCCCTCAGGCCCCTGGGGGGCCAGACCTACGGATTATACAAAACATTTTGTATAAACAGAGTGTTGTGGCCCTCTGCGTGCAAAGTTGCAGGGCCCACTAGGAGAATTTGAGGTTTAAAACTTGTAGATCCTTCTTCTTCTGAACCATTGGAGGGATTTTATGTAATAAGAATAACTTCCCATGGTTGCTTTATTATCCAGGTGAGCGATACAGGCCCTCTGGGGCTCTTATTTGTATCTGGCAGTCATCTGGGTTTTCTATTACATTTAATGTCCATAGACAACAAGAGGCCCGGAGGGCCTGTATCGCTCGCCTGAATATGTTTAAAATAATTGATATGAAGTAGAGATATAGCACTCCATGGTAGAAGCTGTAAGTACATATGAAATTTCAAAAAGATCCATCCAGTACTTGAGATATAGCAAGACCAAATTTCAAACAGAGCCCCACCCCGATGCCCGTAGGGCGGTCATACCCACCAATTATACAAAATTGAGACCCCTTGACCCAAGGATGCTCCAGACAAAATTAGGATAAAATCCCTTAATCCCTATGGTAGAAGAAGGACTCTAAAGGTTTTACCTCTATTTCTCCTATTGGGCCCCGCCCTTCTGTCCCCTGGAAGACCACGTCCACTGCTTATACAAAATCGAGTCCCCTTGGCCCAAGGATGCTCCAGACTAAATTGGGATAAAATCCCTTAATCCCTATGGTAGAAGAAGGATTTTAAAGTTTTTTAGCTATATTTCCCCTATTGGGCCCACTTTTCTGCCTCCATGGGGGTCAGACACACCGGTTATACAAAATTGGTTCCCCTTCACCCAAGGGTGCTTCATCCAAATTTAAACAAAATCCTGTCATTCCTACAGAAGAAGATTTTTAAAGAATAATTTACTATATTTCCCCTATTGGGCCCCACTTCTCTGCCTCCCTGGGGGTCAGACACACCGGTAATACAAAATTGGTTCCCCTTCATCCAAGAATCCTTCAGACCAAATATGGAAAAAACCCTTTCATTCCTACAGAAGAAGAAGGATTGTGAAGAAGTTGCTAAGTTTCCCCTATTGGGCCCCTCGTTTCTGCCCCGAGGGGGGGTCACACTCGCTGTTTATACGAAATTGAGTCCCCTTGACCCAAGGATGCTCAAGAATAAATTAGGATACTATCCCTTAATCCCTATGGTAGAAGAAGGATTATAAAGGTTTTACCCCTATTTCCCCTATTGGGCCCCCTTTTCTGCCTCCATGGGGGTCAGACACACCGGTAATACAAAATTGGTTCCCCTTCATCCAAGAATGCTTCAGACCAAATATGGAAAAAACCCTTTCATTCCTACAGAAGAAGAAGGATTTTAAAGAAATCCCTTGGGCCCCGCCCCTCAGCCCCAAGGGGTTGTTCCCCTTCACACAAGGATGCTTCTGACCAAATTTGGTCAAAATCTGCTCAGTCGTTCATGACTAGTTCGTTTTGAAGGAAAAGTTGACCGACGGACGGACGAACGACGGACGCTGCGGTATGGCATAAGCCCATCATTGTCCTTCGGACCAGGTGAGCTAAAAATCAGAGGATGAGTAATCATTTTATGAAAAAATGCTCATTTTGAAGAAGTATTGAATTTCATAGAATTACTTTAATTTCTCGCCATTTCTCAGGTGGGGAAATTTAGTCAATTTCTTCCTGGAACAAAATATATCAATATATCTTGATATTCAAGATTTATTCAACTTGATGGCCGAATTTTCAGTCGTCTAAAATTTGTTAAAATGTCATAATTTCACGTTTAATTATGCTTGGAAAATAGTAATATTTGACTTAAAAAACCCAAATAGCCCAATTTTCATTCTGGAATTTTTATACGCCCATCAAATTTGACGGGAGTATTATGGTATGGGGTCGTCCGTCCGTCGTAAACTTTTGTTTGTCCGGCAATCTCCTCTTACATTTTTCGACCGATCTCTTTGGAACTTGGTATACATTATAATCATGATATGAAGTTGTGTCTCCCTTAAAGAAGGCTAAATAATAATGATATGTTGTTGTGTTTCCTTGAAAAGAATTTTGGTTCCACAATTTTTATACGCCCGTCAAATTTGACGGGAGTATTATGGTATGGGGTCGTCCGTCCGTCGTAAACTTTTGTTTGTCCGGCAATCTCCTCTTACATTTTTCGACCGATCTCTTTGAAACTTGGTATACATTATAATCATGATATGAAGTTGTGTCTCCTTTAAAAGAATTTTGATTCGACAATTTTGTCAAGAGTTATTGCCCTTTGTTCATTTCAGTATTTGATTTTTGTCCGGCAATCTCCTCCTACATTTTTCACCGGATCTCTTTGAAACTTGGTATACATTATAATCATGATATGGAGTTGTGTCTCCCTTAAAAGAATTTTGATTCGACATTTTTTCCAAAAGTTATTACCCTTTGTTTATTTCAGTATTTCATTTTTTGTCCGGAGATCTTCTCCTACATTTTTTGACAGATTATCATGATATGTTGTTGTGTTTCCTTGAAAAGAATTTTGGTTCGACAATTTTTGCAAAAGTTATTGCCCTTTGGTCATTTCAGTATTTGATTTTTTTATCCGGAGATTTTCTCCTACATTTTTATAGCATGTCGGCTAACCACTCTTTGAATGATGCAGATCTTATTTCAATGTAAGAAAGTATATAACACTATATGGCATTCGACGGGCGTATATTATTCCGCCCCGCGGTACTCTTGTTTCAAAAGTTATTGCCCTTTGTTCATTTCAGTATTTGATTTTTTTATCCGGAGATTTTCTCCTACATTTTTATAGCATGTTGGCCAACCACTCTTTGAATGATGCAGACCTTATTTCGATGTAAGAAAGTATATAACACTATATGTCATTCGACGGGCGTATATTGTTCCGCCCCGCGATACTCTTGTTCACATTGTAGATTCATGGTAGAGATTGCAGGTTTTTCAGACGTGGTGGAATGCGTGCCGACAGCATGGACCTGATGCGGAAAGTAGATTTCAGCCACGTCATTGTGATTCTGCTTGGAGACAATAGCATTCATTGTAACAGCAGACCCCACGATATATTTGACAATTTGTGTCATAGACAGAAACAATTTAGACAGACGGGTGCATGTTAATTGTATGTGACAAGGGATTGTTTCAAGAGGAAATTAAAAATTTCCTGGGTTGACGCAGAGCGTTTTCGGCAAACAATGAATAACAGTGAGTCAAGTTCGTAGGAACCATTATGAGAAGTGTTCGGTGAATTTGAAAGTGAAGTACCATATAAGGTTATAACAATGGATGGATTCAGTGACGTGATATTCGTTAACCTTAGATTAAAGTGTTTATCCAATTCAAAATTAAGGAACATGCAGATTTAATTACTCTTTCTTTAACCTGACATTTGCAAACAACAAAATTTGAAGGATCATTTCATGATATCGGGAGTGTCTGTCTTTCTGCAATTTTGTTTCAGTAAGATAACTTTCTTACGAATGGCCAAGTGAGCATATGCCGTGGCGCGGCGTTTGTCGTCCGTTCGTCCGTCCGTCGTCAACATTTTTTCTTTTAACGACTTCTTCTCAATATCCAGTAGGCCTATGGTGAGGATATTTGGCCAACACTATGCTGGGATGAATGGCTACCAATTTGGCTTCATGAATGACATTGACCCCCTTCCAAGGTCACAGGGGTCAAATAAGTTAAATCTTTAAACAACTTCTTCACAATAACCAAAAGACCAAAGGTGATGACACATGGCAAGTTAGTAGCATGCTGAAATGATGGGCTACACGGTTTGTTCAAATGAATGACTTTGACCCACTTTCAAGGTCACTTGGTCAAATGTTTAAAAAAAATCTTTAAAATAGATATTTTTCCAAATAAATGAAAGGCCCAATGTGAAAATATCTGCCAAGTAGAATGCTTGGATGAAGGGCTCCCAACTTTGGCAAATGGATGACCTTACCTACTTTCTATGTCACTAGGTTCAAATGTCAAAGAAATCTTAAAATCTTCTCACTACTCAAAATGCCCAGGGTCATGATATCTGGCAAGTAGCACGCATGCAGGGATGGAGTGCAACAAAGTTTGTTCAAATATATGACCTTGACCCCCTATCAAGGTCACATGGGTCAAATATGTGAAAAACTTTTAAACAACTTGTTCTCAATACCCACAAGGCGCAGGTTGGTGATATTTGGTAAGTAGCATGCTGGGATGAAGGGCTGCCAACTTAATTCAAATAAATGACCTTAACCTTCTTTCAAATTCACTGAAGTCAAATGTCTTTAAATCTTCAAACAATTTCTTATCAAGAACCAAAAGGCCCATTCTGATATTTGACCAGTGGCCTGCATGGATGAAGTGTTAGAAAGCCTACTTAAATGTACAAGGTCAATGGTCTAATTAATTAGTTCATCTATAAAATAAGTCTTCTACATAACCATATGGCAAAGGGTGTTGATATTTATCTGATACCATGTTGAGGGAAGGACTTCAAAGTTGTTCAAATGAATAACCCACTTTCAAGGTCACACAGGTCAAATGTTCAACAAAAATTAACCTTTCTCTTCTCAGTAACCAAATTTCTCTGTAATGACATTACTGAATTAATCCAGTAGCAGCCTTGGATGAAGGGCTAATAAGATTGTTCAAATGAATGACCTGACCCACTTTCAAGGTCATAAGGGTCAACTGTTTAAAAAGTCTTTACAATTATTATTCTTTATAACCAAAAAGGCAAGTTCCGTAATATTGGCCTGTAGCTTAATTTGATTTAACCTATTTTCATATATTCCTTTACAAAAACAAAGGTGACAGGACTTATAAGGCTATACTGTAGCTAAATCACCAAGTATGTAAGAAAACAACACAAAACTTCCAACAACTGAGTTCAAACATGCTAGGTTCTTTCCCGATTTCAACAACATTATCACTGGCATTCTTAAGCAGGACAACATTATCACTGGCATTCTGAAGCAGGAACAACATTATCACTGGCATTCTGAAGCAGGAACAACATTTTCACTGGCATTCTGAAGCAGGAACAACATTATCACTGGCATTCTTAAGCAGGACAACATTATCACTGGCATTCTGAAGCAGGAACAAGGTGCATATGACAAGGTTGTTTCCATGTGTTTGATAGAGGCAAATACATAGTACACGTACACAAATAACAGTAAAATAAAATTCTGCAAAAAGGTTTGCACAACTTCCAATATGGATATTTAGTAACAACATAAACAAAGATTTAATTTTGTTTTTATATTTGTTTATTCATTTAATGACAAGGTTTCGACAGTAGATCAATGTTTGTTCAGAAATATCAATGCTTTGACAAAAATAAGCTTTTTTGACACTAGCCTAATTTTAGTCAGAGATCTATGTTGCTGGTATATTACTGTAACAGGAGAGAAATAAATGGCCAGATCGGGATTCGAACCCGAGAACTTCTAAACTCTGGATGGATGCTCTACCAATTGAGCTCCCTGGTCATCAACTATCAACCCAGTCCAGTTCTGCCACACTCCTCCCTCTTTTTAAGTCTTTGCCCAAAAGACAACACTATTAAAAACGCCAGTCAAATATGCCTTTGCCAAGCATTCACCCAGTACAATGAACAAGGGTTGGTCCACTGTAACAGAGGAGAAATGCACGGCTTCATCGGAATTTGAACTCTGACCCACCACCAATTGAACTGCCTATAGTTGCCAGCTGTTGACCCAGTCCGGTTCCACTATATTAAGTAATATGGTCCTCTGTGTAAAAGTGAAAACTTTCAGACAGTAAGCACTTCTAACAAATCAAGCTAACAAAACTTGTACTTCCACTGTCAGGAATACTACACTGGTTATAATCAAGCTAACAGAGCTGTACTTCTACAAACAGGAATACCAGATTGGATTTATCCAAGCTAACAATGCTTGTACTTCTACACACAGGAATACTAGATTGGATGTAATCAAGCTAACAAAGCTTGTACTTCTACTGTCAGGAACACCAGATTTAGGTGTTATCAAGCTTACAATAGTGAATACTTGTTCTTCCACTGTCAGAAACACCAGATAGGGGTGTTATCAACCTAACAATGCTTGTATTTCGACTGTAAGGAACACCAGATTGGATGTAATCAATTTAACAAAATCTATACTTCCGCAGACAAGAATACCAAACTGGGTGTTATCAAGCTAACAATACTTGTACTTCTACAGACAGCACTACCAGATTGGATGTAATCAATTTAACAAAATCTTTACTTCCGCAGACAAGAATACCAAACTGGGTGTTAACAAGCTAACAACACTTGTACTTCTACAGACAGCACTACCAGATTGGATGTAATCAAGCTAACAATACTTGTACTTCTACAGACAGCAATACCAGATTGGATGTAATCAACCTGTGCATAGTTTGCATCAATAAATAACAATAAACATTTGATCTACCAGAATAGTACCCAGCCAGGCTTCCACCGGTACAGTCTGAATTACATTAACTTTGTTCATGATATGTACAATAATTAATCCACACTACAGGAAGGCTGGGTCTCTGATTGTAACAGGTTAAATAAAGAATCCATTACAATGTATCAAAAGCATTCATTAACGATCAGGCCAAAAAATGGAAAATGTATGTTTCAGGTCCAATTTTATCTCACTCAAACGCACTCCAAAAAGTTTTGGGATAACTTGTCCACCTTATGCAAATAAATTTATGGAGAAATAAATAAGCCAACTATATATACCCGCTCTACTTCATTGGCAGGTATCAAACCCCAATTTAAATCCTTTAGTATTATTTAAAATACCAAAAAAACATGTTTGGTGATTTTTGTTATTTCATAAACTAGCCACCCCACCCCACTTCTCAAGAAAAAATATATATTTCCTGACTGACCTACCTAATTGTTTACAGCCAGATTACCTGAAACATACATAACCTTTTTTTTTGGCCTCAAAAAAATTGTAATAATTTACATACGAGAAACCAAATTTACTAATCACACCTCTGATTATGAGGTGTAGACAAAATGGTTTTTTTTCAATGCTAAAATCATTGAATACTGGCTTCCTGTTAATTAATTTTCCAGAAAATTTAATAATAAATCCCTAGTTTCCATGCATCTGAATAAAGTTTCACAATACCTGAATTAAATATGTATAAGTTCTATAAATACCCACACAAGGAGGTGCTTTCTGCCAAATGCAACTCTTTTCTTTTGACGATTTTCATATCTAATACACTTATAACAAGTTAGGTGAACTTTTATTTCAGTGAATATTTGTTATACATGTGATCATGATCGAACCAATGAGGATGCAGGAAAAATTGCCATCATTTAAAATTGAATTACATTATTTAAGAAATTAAATGGTGAAGAGAAAAAGCAGGTAAAACAAAATGTATCACATTAAAATATTGGGTTTTAATTGTAAAACTTCCAAATTCTTACCATAAATTAATCACAATAACAGTTTTAACAGACAATATCTGTATCACATGTAGTTCCACGTGTCTTAGACAAACAAAAATGTACAGTACATGTACCGACACGTCAGAAATATATACACTGGTTTATACATAGTCCTTTAGTTCAGTAGACCGGACACAAAACACACAGCTTGTAGACAACTGGTAACAGTAAACACTTTCATATCTAGACTGTCAGTGACTTTTTCAACATGTACTTTTGGAAGAAAGCTATTGAACAAATTGAATTTTGTGTGTTATCTCCCTTTAAGCTATCAGTGACTTTTTCAACATATACTTATGGGAAATTTCCTTGCATGAAGAAAGGTATTGAAAACATTTAATTTTGTGTATAGTCTCCCTTTAAGCTATTGGTGACTTTTTCGATATACAATGTATATGCTTATGGGAAATTTCCTTGCATGGAGAAACTCATTGAACTAATTGAATTTTGTGAATAATCTCCCTTTTTAAGCTATCAGAGACTTTTTCAGCATGTACTTTTTTAAGAGAAATTTCCTTGCATGGAGCAAGTCTATGAATTGTGTGTATAATCTCTCTTGAAGATTTTTGTTATGCAGTAACAGGAAGAAAGCAAAGAGGTGTGTATGCATGTTAAGTTGCATGACGTTAGATGCAGTATTTTGTCCTTAACTGATCTAAACTTGAAAACATAACCAAGGCCACAGAGATCAAGGTCATTTGTCAAGATTACGAAAGTGTTGTGTGTAACATGCTCTGCTTATAGAGGGTCATAAACATGTGGAGATGTCCTGACCAGCCAGATAGAAGTACAGACAATAGTACCACTATAACCCTTCCACCACTTAGTGGCGGGCCATAAAAATCCCATATTAATGTGTGTACTGTTACCATTACAGCAGGTTTATTATGCTTATTATATCTGCAAAAATATAAGTAATGGCACAAATGATCCGGTTTACTTACAACACAGGAAAGTATTAGAATTTAGGTGAGCCTCCGTATCATGGAACATTAAAATATGTTTTCACAATAAATATCACTCAACTAATATCACAGGGCTAAGGCAACGCTCATCAAGATCCAAACTCGGACGTGTCCGAGGTGATTGGTTTATATTCGTAAGCTCCTCGCCCATCCATCTTCAGGTAGTACTGTAACAAATACAAAACTTTAATGGGGACCTAATCACGATCTTAGAATGGGAAAACTTTAATGGGGACCCATTTACGATCTTAGAATGGGAATTTTGTCACATACACACATACACAGAAATATCAGTTATTTTCTTTAATGAGTCGGTTTCAACTCCCTGTAATTAGCACAACCTTACCACAAAAAAATATTATCATACTTCATCTCTATAACAGCGTGTCTGATTGGACGATATTGGTGACATGACAGGGCAATAAATCATCATGTCTACCTCAAAGCTCAAGTTTCTCTGATCATATTTCCCTTATTCTTAGCCTCTCTAGGAAAATGCTCAAGAGTCATCACAACCTAGTTCCGAATGACAGAAGCAGACGACAAGAATGGCGCATCAACCTGATCATCTCTACTCTTTTGTTATTGTTTTTGATTTAGATTTGTTTTGACATGATAAAATATTTATTTCCCTTACTTGTGATTCCCTAAAGTATGAGCAATAAATGTATACTATTGGTCCAGGAAGGTTCATTAAATCAATATGTATCATCTATTTCACAAACCAGTGTAACTTAAGGTTCCCTCCCAATCCTTGAGATCACATTTCTGTCTATCAGAAACACAAAGAGTCATTAGGTACTGGTATGGAAATATAAGACCCCCGGCACTTAAACCTGTTTTGATTTAACAGAATACTTTTGAAGTTATGCATGGTGTGTCATGTGACTAATAGATTGTCTTACATCATGGTTTGTCATGTGACTAATAGATTGTCTTACCTCATGGTGCTTCCACAGAGATTTCCTGTGCGATACCGTAAACAGCGAAATCTTAACCTGAAACAGTAAGAAATCATTATATCAGGTGTTTAATTTCATAATTTTAATAATTTATTTCACCATCATGCCATTTCAATAGCAATACAAATACAAGCAAGGGGTTCAAGAGGCCTGTAATGATCACATGTTATTGAGAGGCTATTTGATGCTGCCAAAATATATTTACTGCTGAAATTCTTGAAAAGGTCTTTTTAAGTTTTTAAAACATCTTAGCTCTGTTTATTAAAGATTATTCATGAAACTCAAAATAATTACGCACATGCATGTTGTAGTTACCTTTTATAGTAGGAAATGCACGTCAACAGCCTGAAAGGTTCTGATTTACGTTTTGTGATTTATTATGAATTTGCCCAACATTTTGTGACCTCCAAATGCTTTCAAGTTTCATATCGGTTTCAAGATTTCGAGAAGCAATCGGAAACCATCCGATATGTACGTAAGTATACATCAAACAGGAAGTCAGTGATTGCATCGTACATGCTCGTACAATTAAGTCAATGTTTCTGTAACACTACAGGATCTGTAGGACTATGACTCTACCTCTCTACAGTACTGGTACATGTAGCCCTCCACATCCACACTGACGGCACTGGTACACTCGTCCAGGATAGCAAACTGGGGCCGATGATAAAACAGTCGAGACATCTGAAAGAAAAGAATGCTGTCAAATGTATGTTGCTGAAATATAAGAATAAGCTACACCTAATCAGGAAATAAATATTTGGTTGGGGCGAGGTGGGGGGCATTTTTTGTGACCCCCATAGACTGCAACATTATCTGTCTCCATTTTTCTTCGGACATATGTTTTTAACAAAATTTAAACCCTCTTTTATTTTTAACTAAATAATAATATTTATTCTGGAACAGCCATCACAGGGCAACATCAAAATGGGTAATTGGTAACACTGTCACTACAGTTATGTCCAATCCTGATAACCCTTCTATTAGGTTTCATGACAAAATATCAAGTGTATCATAAGTTATGGAATGGGTGAAATAAAAATAATTTGAATTTGTCCCCCTGCCCTGATCTCTATCTCTTTGATATACATCTGAATGTGTCCTAAAACACTCAAGGAGGTCATAATAGGCTCAGAAGAAAATATGAAAGAAATAAAAGTTATGGTCCATAAAAGTATTATCATAATGATTTGACCTGTGACCCTTTGTCATCACGGCTTCCACCTTTAGGGTCCAAAGCTATTTGGCTTTTTCCCTCTGTTCATTATGCATGTCATATCTTGTTCATAAGAAAATATGAAAGCAATCAGAAGTTTCAGTTCAGGAAAATATGTTACAATAATTTTGTTACCTGTGTGTATTATGACATACCTTCTGGTCATGAAAACATCTGTAAAGTTATATAATGCAAGGTTCAACCATGTAGAAGACTCCTACACACTGTCTTAATGTGTACAGAAGAGAGGGAAGCAGGTATTGTATTATATAGTAATATACTTACAGCAATTCTCTGTTTTTCTCCACCACTCAGGACGTCCATCCAGTCCTAGATAAAACAAGATTTAAAATCACAATCTAAAATCCTTTAAAACTTGCAACACACAGGTGTAATGAAAATAATTATTGTTTTGTATATTACAAAATGTCAGACAAATCAATACCAGTTATATCAATGATAGGACATCCTAACACACTAGACAAGTTTTATTAAAATTCAATGATACCTTCACAAGATATCAACTTGAAGCAAATCTGTTTATACATGTATTGTTATAAATTAATTCACAAGTCAGAACTGTCAGTACACTACTTATTTCAGATATTACATTAGTCACAGCAACTTTGTAAACTGATTTTCTAGCAATTTATTACTGTATACCATAACGTTTTCACTGCAGTTTTATTTATTTCATTTTTGCCCTCCGTAATGAAGGCGAATTTATCATAACAGCAAACGTAAGTTAACTGCACAATAAATATAGCAATCAAATGTGAAGGGCGAAATTAACACTGGGTGAAAATTGATTCCGGTATAGGGATATCATAGGGATATGGTTTATTTACCTGCACAGCGTCCCATCCTCCTTCCCTCTCCAAGATGTAAGACAATTGTACCTGTACAGAGAAAACCGGTGAGTACATTACATCACTGTCAAATCTACCTCACATTCCTAACACCACTGCTTCACTCAGCATACCTTGCAAAAGCTCAAGTATCCAAAGTTTTGCCTTATATTTATATTACTACTGGTAATTAAGCGGCTATCAATTTCTTTCAAAAGAACCTGACACAATAACGCAAGAATAATCTGTATCAACCAATTTCTTCTTTGCATGATCAGCTTATACATTATTCTGCTATTGTTAAAAACATCTCTAATTCATCAATACAATACATCATTATTTGACGTACGATTTTACCTTTTCTAGGATTTCCTCCAACTGTGAATCCCGAATTCCCTTCTTAAGTTGTTCTTCTCTGCTGTGTGGGTAAATCACCTGGTCCCGCAGAGTACCCACTGTCATGTACGGACGCTGTAATGATTGACGAACTAATAATATCTAGACCAAATTAAATTCCACGGTATTAATTGAACATTTTATATACAACCCATTTGTAAATGATATTATCAAATCTTATTTTCAATGCTGTGCAGCAACTTACCTGTGGAACATAGAAAAGGTTTCCTTTTTCTGGTTTGGTCATGGTGCCTCCAAATAATGGCCATAACTGTTAAAAAAATAAAATTCCTGATAAATCCTATCATACATTTCATGCTTTAGCTAAAGACGACAAGTATAAACTTCCCATATTAAGTCTTATAAAGTAACATTGTGTGCCAAGCTTCACCTAACAGATGTCTGTTAAAAATGTGTTCCATCAGGTAAAAGATACCTGTACTTTTAATCTTAATTCACCGTTGTCGACATCTATATTTTAGTCAGAGACTACTATCAAGAAGGAAATCAAACACAATCCTTGTAAAACTTGTAGAGAAATCAAAATGTTCAAGATCAGCAGGAAAAGTAACAATACTAGTTTGGCACTGCATAAGGAAAATCTCTGCCTTGGGATAAATTGCTGTAGACACTCTTGAGAAACTGAAAATATCTCGGCCAATCAGAGGGCAGGGTTATGGTGGTATCCAATCAGAAGGCAAGGGTATAGCCATCATGAATTTTCAAATGCCAGGTAAGCACAAACTCAATGCTTGGTTTGCACCTCATACAGACCATTCGTATTGAGTTTGGGGTCATTCACTTAAGCTATTAAGCTTCTAGAGAAAATGTAAACCAACCAATCGAGAGGATAGATCACCTATCTCAGATTTTCAAATTGGTAGGAAAAGTAACAACACTTTGTGATGACCTTGTAAGGAATATTTGTATCCAGTTTGAAATCAATCACTTCAGCGGTTTGAGCAGAAATCGAAAAGGTTCCTTTTCATTTTTTCAATCACAAAACCACAAACTTAATATACAGTCAAAAGTGTATGTGTGTATATATGTATTTATCAACCGTTAACATTCTGTTAAACTAGGTAACCTTTCGTTAATGACAGTTATCTTCTGGAGGTGATGTGTACAAAGAGTAGCTATGGGAAAATAGCCTAGAACGATTTGAGAATCAAGCATGTTTTACAACCTCTTATACATTGTAGAAGTATTGAATAATTGTCGTCTTCACCCAAAAATAAAGGGAAATCAGTTTCTGTAATTTACAACACAAAAAATCACAAATACCCTTGTAATTACTCATGGTTGTCTTGCTGGCATTATTTCTAACCGTTACAGCCCTAATTTTTAGCCCATGGCTAACTAACACAACTTTTCATATTTAACCCTTTCACCCCTATGTAACTTAAGTAGACTCTACCATGCATTGATATGGATGAGTTTATTATGGTCTACCGTGGTGAAAGGGTTAAAGGAGAAATAGCTGTGTTTAGTCATACATTAAATATAAACCTCATCCCCTTCCGATCCAGTAGAACAACCTGTTGTGTACACAGTCAGATGTACCAGTACTTACCTCACCCAGTACTCGGAACAGGGAACTTTTACCGCAACCATTTGGACCGCACACCAGCACATTCATCCCACCCTTCACCTGTCAAATAAAGATACACATTTTATAAATAACTTTAACTATTTCACCCCTGAAAACACATTTGAACTCTTCCAATTGAAAGATTGGTATAGTTCATTGTAAAATTTTAGGGGTGAATGAGTTAAGCTCATTACCGTATTTGACTGCAAATAAGCCCCCTCCCTACTTTGGCAAATACATTTTACCAAACAACTATCACAAGTAGTAGAAATGACTTGTATTTACATGAGTTACACACCAGTATGTTATCTTATTGAGAAACCCCAAAACTTACAATAGATTGCTGTACGTACCTCAAAGCTGAGTTCCTTGATAAGTACATCTCCGTTAGGGGTCACGAGGGGCACTTTTTCAAACCTAGGAACAAATATGTACACATATATACCTTTATATGTGTAGTAAACAAGATAAATATATATTTTATAATTGACATATATTTGAAAGACCCTTTTCTTTGTGTGTGTTTATGATTGATGCTCGACAAACCTTATTTCTCTCTGATAACTGATGTAATACAGGACTCTTACTTGATGATGTGGTCCTGGTTTACTATTGTCCC